TGAAGGGTCCCCGAACGACTGGTGTGGCCAATCAGGCAATCAGATGGGCTCCTGACAAGAGTGCAGGGCCCTAAGCAAGTGACAGAGAATTGGAAGCGCGCTAGACCAATGAAGAGCGCCCATGAGCATATCGCAAGTGTGTCGGTAGGTTAACTGGGGCTCCTGAGCAACTGAGAATACCCCGGCAGATTAAGATGTGGGACCCCGGCTATAGCCCACAGAGCCTTTCTGGCGAATGGACAGGACACGCGAAAGGGCCGTGATTGACAAGAGTGCCCCGGTAAGCTAGCAGGAAGGGCGCCAACGATAGCACAGGGCCCCCCAAGCAAATGCAAATAAATAAAGGGCAATGGGGAATGCTCCTTAACTGTGGAAACGGTCCTGCATGTGGGCATATAGGCCTCCCAGAAACAGCATGGGGCCCCTAGGCACTGTAATGAGGCTTAAAATTTCCAGTTCACAACCTTTCCAATCACTGAATGATTTTTTGACTTCTCATAGGCCCTTCACTTTCGCTTACAACTGTTTTTGGTCGTCTGGAAATCCAGAGATATCCAGTTTCGTTGCGTTTTGTGTTACAAAAACTGCACCTGCTTGGCTGACGATGGCCCCTCGGAGCCAATGGGCCCCTTCGGGGCCCAAAGGGGCGGGGGGCATGGCCCCGTGACCCCCCTCTGGATCCGCCTCTGGTTTGAGTTATACAGATCGTAGCAAGCTGCGTTGTTTTACTATGTTTTATAGGAAAATGAAAACAACACACGTTATTGGCCGTCTACATTCGGAGGAAGCCCTGAAATGTGTCGAACTTCACTTCAACATGAAAGTTCGATGAATCGGTTGCAAAAACCTGACAATCAACACCAGCCGACTGAATCGACAGCGGCAATTGTCCGGCCATGACCACTAACACTATCCGTGTCGAGAACGCCTGATGAGAGTCATGTGCCGGCACGCCGCCTTGTACCATCAGTGGGATTTCTATGGTAGACTATTAGTCGCGCAAATCAACTTGCACTCTTCCCTCCCGAAGCCATACATGTCCAATAACGTCTGAAGCCCAATAAAATCGACTCTACGTCGATTACCGCAACCTGGTTTCGACAGCCGACGCCAAACAAAATTATAGTGTTGACCAACGACAACATCTGTTACCGAGACAGAGCAAGCAAGCGTATTAGACCAGGTCTGTATTCTTATATTCTGTTTGGGGGAGACTCCAGTTCCGTATCATCACTGAGAGGAAATTGCGTCAAATCCTTGAGTTAGCTTGTTTAGTATATTTGGCGCCAGTTTTTCCGCTCGGCCTCACCAATCCTATTTTGCGAAACCCACTTCTATGGTAGAGTCTTAACCACCGTGACGTGCGAAATATTTGTCGCCAGATTACACTCCAATGTCATGTCTGAAACTTGGAGCCCATTTCCCAAGCAAAGACAAGGCCGAGATTCACGAATTACATTGGGCGGGGCTATTAAGTCAATGAGTGACTCCTGTGCCAGTCAAGGGACCGCAATGTCTAGCAATGCTCCCGTATTAACAAGGAGCCTAGAGTCGACCTGGGACAGTGTTCGAGGGGCCCGCAGAGGAGGCGAAGGATCTCTCGGGACCGATGATCGAGTGCCCGATTGGAGGGCACGAATGCAGGGCCGGGCCATCAAATGCCAGTTAAAGGACTTCTTGCACCGATTGGGGCTACCCTGGGACAATGCGGGTCTCTATTTCGGTCATAGACCACCAGCATCGAACTGTCAGCTCCGCGTCCATCTGAGCCCTGGGCACCCATTTTCTAAGCAGGGACAAGGTTGGAACCCGTTATTCGCACTGGTTGTGACCTTTGAAGCAATGAAGGCTTCTTTGTCAGAAAACCTCAGTGCCTAAAAGAAGTCCCAATGTCTGCAAAGGGCCTCGAGTCGGCCAGGGCAACATTTGTTGGACAGGGACAGAGACGGGACCTCGAAAGCCAGGGGCCTTTTGCATTGGTCAAGACCCTCAGTGGTGATGAGAGTTAACGATGTGAGTTCACAACGTGATAATAGAGGGCCCTTTGTCAGGCAGGGCTCCGGTACCGAACAGAGGGCTTCCCATCCTATTTGAGCTAGGGGCCCGCTACGCCGAACTGCAGTCGCTATGCAAATTATTGGACACCAACGACGATAAGGGGTCCTTTGCATCAATGAGGGGCTCCTGCGTCTATTTGGGAAAAATAGCCGGATTAGGGAGCCTAAAGGCGTTAGGGAGGCGAACAACGCATGATGGATCGCTCTAAAGCTTCCGTACCGACCAGGAGATCCCGCCCCTGTGTCAGCGGCATGACAGCCGACAGGCTCCGCCACGCTGTAACTGAATGGCCCTGAAACCTCTGACTGGGAATTATAATGTGCCCCCTATTGGGATACCCACTGGGTTCCTTGCCCGGAAAAGGAAGGGGGTTTCCTTAGTGTTCAATGAGGCGGATCACAATGAGGTCAAAAATGAAAAAGGCCAACACAAACTAGGCGTCCATCCTCGCTCAGGATCATCATGTGGAACGAATTGCATAAAACAGTTTTGGACCTACGCGCTCACAATCTTAGGAGCAGGAGCAGCAATGGCCGGGGTTACAGTTTCCATGAAGCCGGGCGGCGTTCACCACTGCAGCGAACACCGGGTGGTGGCCGCCCGACTCCCGAGAAAAGCCATCGTGAGATAACGCTGCCAAGTCTTTTAAAATTAACTTGTATCGTTCAGAAATTGGACTGTGGCGTATATTTCACTTGAATAATTTGATCTCATCCCCTGAAGAGATCAACAGCGACAGCAGCACAACAGTAAAGATTCGACCTTTATTTGTATAACTCTACCACCAAATTCTTGCGACGGCTCGCGATGCTATAAATGCTAATCCATTGTATTATAAATATAAGAAGTGCATAGGTGAAGCATACTGGCGAAACACCTTCCAAGAGCTCCAATTGACATCCTTGAGCGCTCAAAGACTTCAGAAACGTCGCCGTTTTCGTCCGCTCGTTGGCCACCGTCTAATGTTAAACACAGGATCGCCGCAGCACAGCCTCCAGAGACTGCAACGCCGAAAGTCGAGGTTTTTGTTGTAAGACTCGCGAGCGCGCATGGCCTAAACTGGGTTATGCAGTTCTTCCCCCTACCTGATTCTGGACAAATCTGAGCATTCTGAGACCAGACCAGGTTAATTTGAATGCAAATTAACGACCTTATTTCGATATAAGACCTACGTTCACAAAGTCCCTACACAACTCACAGAAATCCCGGTACAATCAAGGAGTGCCATCGGCCTAGTAAGTCCACTGAAACATTTTCAAATGAAGAGCACTGTGTGTTTCCTTCAGTTTATCGGCTTCAGATTGCAGACAGTATGGTAGCTATTGGTGACCTCTGGCTTTGAAGAAGGGCAGGGCTCTCCCCGAAATCGAGAGGGCCACATTCGATGACTTTTTTTGGGTGGGGACCTTTCCCCAGGGGAGGGTTTGGTCAACCCTGTGTCCCATACCACAATTATCAAGACTCTGGCCGCGTCCCTTCGTCGGTAAGCTCATTGAGCACCGAGTATGCATACGGAAGTATCATCACGTGGTAACTGAAAAGGCAGTTCAACTAGCAACGCTGTTACAATCAACCTGCATTGTGCATGACATTGATATGAACGGTGTTTCATTTTTTCACACGCTCGGAGCGAAACGGGTGGGGAGAGCTGCAACTGCATCCTTTCAGCTTCACGAAACAGGTTCCTTTGTGAGAAGCAGATGCAATCTGCGAGGCTTCCATGTATGATTGCTGTGGCTACACACATAAGCCTTAAAAAGATATGTAAGCGTAGTATACACACATATATGCATACATATTATGTACATTGTAATATATATATATATAACTGATGATCGCAAGATTAGGCGCGAAATCCGAGTTCTTAACTCGTCTCCTTAAGACGTCTTCCACAAATCAGGTTCCCCAATCATTTTCAGAAATCGAAACCCGTATCCTCTAATTTCTGACGTACACGGATACGAGAATGTGCAGACTATTTCGGGGAGAATAGGTCACCCAGGCATCCATGACACCATAACGTCATTCAAATCCTGCCAGTGCATTCGCCATGCGGTGATCCAGGCCAATGAAAGCAAAATTGTCGAGCCGTTCGTGCCTGGCGTTCATGAGCACGATTTCCAGATATGACCGTTAATTGGCGTTCAGTTAACGTTGTGCAGGGTACCATGACAATCAAACAATGTTATATATATATATACATATATATATATATATATATATATATATATATATATACGTATATATATATACATATTATAAATTTACTTAGCAGAGAAATTGTGTTATCTAGAGCAGACTTTCCTACTCAAAAGTGTACCAACAGTTATAAGTGAGCTCCGAATGGCAGGATTTAAATAACGTTACATGGGGTCGTGGAGACCTGTGCGACCTTGAAACAGTACTCTGCACATCCTCATGGGCGTGTACCTAAGAACTTAGAGGGGTTTAGCTCTTCAGAAGGACTGCGAACTGCACCGAACGATCTTCGAGATAAGTATTTTAGTTCGAAACATCATACAAATGTGGAGCGCCTCCTTTAATGGACCACCGATGTTATTCCCAAGTGAGCAGTGCGGCGTGCGCCGATCACCAGGGTTTGCGTGCATCCCCTACCGCGAAGCGCAGTGACGCAAGCTTTTGTCCCTGGCATAACAGACCGTGGAGGCAAATGGGCAGGGATCTGTGTAGCAGTAGGTCAGCAACAGGTCCGTTCTCCGTGACAGCGCCATGTTCTTGGTCTTCACTTCAGTCATAAACTAGCTTGAGACGTCCCATCAATCAGCCATCGCGACTTAAAACTGCATTCCTAGTAGCGGCACACGCGCCCGTTGTGAAGAGCGCCCACCTCGGTGCCGCCACCGACACCGGAAAACCCCGTCGCGTCCGTTTCTGTCATAGCTCCGCCAGCGTACTGACCAACGCAAATCGAATACCCACCAGCGTGTCTGTATTTTCCGTCCGTTTCCATCGCACATCACACGCTCGGGCGCACGGGCCCAGAGGGGTCCTTGAGCGTCCGAGATACCCCACACAAGCGCACCTGCGGCCTACCAACCCGCGCCACCGAGTCGTGCCCCGACCGCACACGAGAGCCGGGCTGGCACGAGCGCCTCCTCGGTCCCCTGTCGCCCGCCCATCACGGCCGGACACGCCCAGTTCGGGTCGCGGGTCCGGACCGAGCGAGGCCACGCCGGCAGGGCCGCGGCGGCTATTAGCCGAGCGTGGAGGAGCGCAGGAAGCTGACGAGGCAGAGGGTGGCGCTGATGCTGCCCTGCAGCCGCTGCCACGACTCCGCCTGGCTCTCGCCCACCGCCTGCAGCAGGACGCGCAGCTCGGCGCACTCGCTGATCGCCGGCCCGTGCAGCTGGAACGACAGCGGACGATCAGAGGTCGCGGAGGAAGCCGGGAGACCAGGGCTTGATATGGCAAGAAGCGCCTAAGCGCAGTCTCAGTTGAAACGGGAGAGAGGTGCCCGGTCAGCAACCCGGCTCGGTGCCGCCCTCTCACGGGAGGAGATGAAGATCAAAGAGGACGCCCAGCGCCAGGGCCTGTTCAGAAGGGCATCATCACTTCACGCCAGATCGTGCTCGGAAGGGGCAAATACTAACAGCATGCGCCATTCTGAGCCCCACGGTCGCCACAATCGTGTCGGATACATGTCCATGGAAACCGCGATCACACAAACACAATAAACTGTAATGACAATGTGGTGGGCTGGCTGCATGACTGCACAAAGGCATGAAGCCTTGGAAGCACTCGAATCCATCACCAGGGAACACGTATTTGTATTTAAAAAGATATGCAGCAATGACCATAAAGCACACGACGTGCGATCCTTCTGCCGGAGTGAACACCTAAGGCACTACATGCTCTGCTGAGCCGCCGCCCCCCCCCCCCCCCCCCCCCCGGCGGTATTCCCACAATAAACACGGAGACGATATCTCCACGTTTGCAGCGAACATAGTTGCGCCATACTTTCGTTGTGATAGCTTTATGGACTTATTCCCACGACACCTCCAAAAGATGATATATCTCAATCGAAACTCGCTGAAAATGTACTGCGCCAGGTCCACTCCTAGTCCATATATCCTCGTCTGTTCCCACAAGGCTGACGTAACGACTGCAACCAGTCAGTGCTCTTCGCACCTACTTCTTATCGAGCTCACTCACCTCACGCGCCGTCATGGCCCACGCAACTCACACCTTACTAGCAACCCCTCGCTCCGCTAACGGAAAAATAACGAACGCACAGGGCGCTCAGTCTCCATGCGCCACAACTGTCACATCCCCCGCCCCCTCCCCCTCCCCCTTCACGCTCCGGACGTCGATCGACCCGGTGCCGTTTCCGACATCAATTAAAAGCCGCCCGGAAGCTTCTGACCGGCACTTAGTATGCAGGGCGCGGCGAAACCTCGGAGGATGAGCGTCATCGGACGTGATTTGACGACGACTCCCTGGCAGGACGTGCTCGCCGGCGGCGGAGGTGCCGGCGCGCACGCCGTAACGCACCGTAATCACAAACATTTAAATGCAAGGCCGATGCGGCGCGTCCGCCGCGCGGGTCTGCGTCGAACGGCTGCGGTGCCCCATGATCCGAGAGATGCTGGATCGGTGCGCCACGCTGCCAGCAGAGTCCTAGAGTCGGCGCCTGAGAGCACCGTCACGCAGTCGGAGTCACGGGAGTCGGAGTCACGGAGGTCGGAGCCACGGAGTCCGGAGTCACGGCAGTTGGAGTCACGGAGGTTGCAGTCACGGAGGCCGGAGTCACGGAGGTTTGAGCCACAGAAGTCGGAGTCCTGGATGCTGGAGTCACCGTAATATTTACGTTAAGCTTTTACCCGGGAACAATTTTTCGGCGTCAGGAAGGGCTGCAACAACACCATATTCCCGTTTTTCGGTAGACACATTTCGTTCCGATTGGCTCGATGGAGAGAGAATGACAAGGGCCATTACTAGAGATGCAGCTTTTCTTATTTGCCTTCTGCACCAGTACCAGCGTGCGTTGGTATCGCCATATGTCGGTAACGGCCAAAAGACAGCAAAATTTGGCCAGTGCCAACGTTCGCGCTAACGTTCTTTGCCAGCACGACTTCATCTAGCGACCGGCGAAGCTCAGGACATTGTCTGACCAGGGCAGCATTAAGGTACAGCCGGTACTGAAGTGCGGAAATCTGGCATCTCTCGGGGTGTTCAGCGAGGCTGAACTGCCAACGTCCTGCAGTCCGTGCCTGAGCTGCTGCCGACTTGCTCATTCCTTCATCGAATTGGGCCAATTTGGGATTAACGCTTTCCCAAACAACCCTAACGAACTCAATGATCTGGCCACCTTGCCGAGTTTTGGCTACTTGGCGCGCGAATAATATAGATTGGATTTCGTTAAAAGCTGCGAAGCATCTTGCTCCACGCAATGTAACCGTGAAATAGTCACTTCCGCAAAATTCACTAACCCATGTGCAAGAATTACGTCAACAAAGCCTTTCATAACGCTGAGCGAGGTCACGAGCATAGGCGTTCCTTATCGCTATTTAATAGCCCAGTCGTCGGGAAGTCCCGTGAAGCCAAATTTACGCCCGCTGTACATTGCAGAAAAGCGGCCACTGCCAGTGCTTAGAACTTTCCTCAGGAACAAAGACACATTTACCTCGCCAACCGCCCACTTCGAAACCCATTACGCCGGGCTAACCGCTCTCAGGGAATGGCGCCGACACATGGACAGATCGTGACGGATCCGCCCCACGGCCAGGCCGATTGGCCGCGGCGCGCCATAACTGTCGTCTTTATGCGCAATACTATGCAAGTAACGGCTGATTGGGACTCAACAGCTGATCACCGTGCCAGCCATTTGGCTGTTCGGCTGATGCTGGCGACACACAAGTCGGCTTCTGGGCGGGCCGCGGTTGCTGAGAAATGCATCGGAGTTTAATGTGTCATGGATGTGGTTCACCACGCCCACCCAACTCTCCACATCGGTAATGTTGTACCATCCTAGATAACCGTACCATTGTATCCTAGCTGTTTCCAAGGCGGGACCATGTCATCACCTATCGCCTGCCCAACGCAACATCTTCGAATATCACGGATGCTCGCGGCAAAACCCGGCCTCATCCTGCCTTGCCCAACATCTGGACAAGTTCAGGTTCCCTCAGCGTCAGAGGCCGCCGTATCGTTGACTACAGCTGGGTGTCCGGGCTCCACGGGGCGATAAGCTGGGGGGGGGGGGGGGGGGCACCACCACGGCTGCTGCCGTTCCCATACGACCGACACGCTGTTCAAACAAGGTCAACACGGCACGGCTATTATCGAAGCGCCTGCGCAGGCGGGGACTGCGACGATGCACCCGTGCCGGACCGGGCCCCACACCGCAGCGGCGCCGGCTCTACGACCGGACGGGGTGGGAGCGGAATGTCTTCACGTGCAAGGGACCTTAAGCTGCACAGGAGAGCACATACGTCTTGCACGAGTGCCCACGAGGCTTTCGGACCAGCTACAACTAAACGTTGTACCTCCGGTGAGGGCCGTTTGGGCCTGGTTCATTGCGGGTAAATTTCTCAATGAGCGGATATAACGGCTCCAGGTCACAGACAGTTCATACTGTGGACCACGGGAGGGATTACCGGATCTCCGGAAGTAAGCCATCAGACTGGACCACTCGTCCTCAGGGCGCACGACCAATCTCAACCACTCCTCCCTGGAAGACGGTATTTCCTTCACTGCTCTGCAAGAGCGAGGGAATACATACAAAGAAGGCGGGTGAATGAAACACGCCTTTTCAGCCAATCTTGCCCAGGCATTGCTTGCCACCAGTCTTACATAGAGTTAACATAAAACTTTCAGCAAGTGGGTGGCCTATGGTTTATCCTTCCCCAAACATTCTTGCGTCTATGGTACCCTGTCCGAGACACCTTGCATGACACGAGCAGACGCGTTCCGGAAGCTCCGTAAACCTAACAGCCGGTTTCGATCCGTGATTGCCGCACTGACACAGCTTACAAAACGTGTACCGAATTGTGGCCAAAAATACGCCAGTTGGCTGGCTATCCAAGTGGTGAGAATCCCTTCACTCCCGACTTCGTCTAGACGAAGACTTTGCGTTTGGTAGTTTCTCTGCCGCTCTTCCTCCGCCGCCGGTGCCGCCTATATCGAAAACCGACAGCAATGGATGGTTGGATAACACGGCGACTTTGCATCCGCGGCACCTCCGCGGCGCAGAAATTTATGAAACTCCCATATGAATTTCATAAGCCCGAAACCAGCCCATAAATCAAACGTGATAAACAACGCACACGAGGGTCGCGGTCGGGACCCCCACTACCCCCCATCTGTTCCAGGCCACGGCCTCTGAGTGCAATGAAATGGCCTCCAAACAGGTTCGGCTGTCAAGCAGGGCCCATATCACGGTCATCATTCGGGCCGGTTCGACTTGGGCCGTTGGGCCGTTCTGTGGTGACTCTCAGGTCGCCGCCGCAGCCGAAGCCAGGGCCGTCCCCGCCTGCCGGAGGTCCCAGGGGAAGGCTGCCATCAGCCCGGCTGGCTGAGAGAGCCGTGTCATGATCTGATCATGGTTATTCTTACCGCGGTGATCTGCCGGGTTCGCGGCGGCTGGGGGGGGGGGGGGGGAGCGAGCCCAAACGCGCCGCGTTCGGTCGCAGAGCCGCCGGCGGACGCACCGCCAGGGTGCGGTTTCTTCAGCTAAGCAAGTGACCATGCACCACAACAACGCCAGGGTAGTGGTGGCAACCGCACATTTCGCGGGCGGGAGAGCGATTTGTCGTGTACGCGACGCGCAACGGACATCAAAACGACCGTCGTCACGTGAGCAGGTTTTCCAATCAACATAGCGGCGGACGTTCATCATGCGCGCATCGCGTGCAGCGGTAAGCGTATGCCGTGATGGATCGCTAAGGCCAAAACCAGACGGCATCTTTCAGCGTTGGAGAGCCGATAATTCCGCGACCCCTTCCGGGTCAAGCAAGATCGGGTACGCAGGCCTGCGCTCACCCTGCACGGCGCTGGCGCCTGGCGTCCGTGTTTCCATGCCCGCCGAATCCGATTGGTCCTCCTGATCTGAACTTCGAGCGTGGAGATGAGTTGCAGCACTGGCCTCACGGACCTGGCCCCCAGCAATAGAGTGCGTTCCGAGAATCAAACAACGCGACGCCTGCCCACGCCCGATTCAAGGCTAAGTTGGTTCAGTAATGCGAGAGCCAGGAGCAGCCCGCTGTATCATGGCCAGCTGGCACAAAAGCATTCCAGGATTCCAATCAGCCGAAGTTATTCTAGTCTGTATAGTAGACCAAAATGACTTTTAGTCTACCGGAATAAATTCAGTCTCGCTATTGCCGTCCCCCAAAGGTTCATTCGGTGTCAGTGTGAGCCTCCAATAAAATACCTGTCAAATCGTGAAAAACGCACTATACCTGCGAGTTCCCTATCGTTGTTCATACCAACGTCTGCAGACGCTAGCTCCGCGACGCGCGCACGCCGCTTCGAGACGAGCGTGGCACGGGTGAGTTCCCTTGACGAATAACCGTCCACGAGCGCCCAATCAAAGTTCCATTCTGGGCAGATACAGTTCGATCGTGACTTACTCTGACGCGGTTTGGGCCCTGCTGGCCGCCGGGCGACCCGAGAGCCGACCCCGTGGTTACCTGCGTGCCAGCGAGGGGTCGCCCGGGTCAAGCACAGCTGTCACCCGAAATGGGCAGCACGGCCGGCGGCGACGGCCGGTACGACTCCCACTGCCCTGGGAGTGCGGTTTGAGCATGTGCTGTCACAGTTCCGGTCCCGCTCCGCCCCTCGTGCGTACGTGCGTGCGTACGTGCGTGCGTGCGTGCGTGTGTGCGTGCGTGCGTGCGTGCGTGCGTGCGTGCGTGCGTGCGTGCGTGCGTGCGTGCGTGCGTGCGTGCACGCGTCGTTGCCGTTGCAGCGGAGGCACAAAGCTGGCGCAGGGCGTGCCTCAAGCCTGCTTTGCAAGTAGTTTTGCTCTTGGCGATTCGGTTCACTTCGACGTTTTCTGGACGCAGAAAACCTGCTCTTTCCTTACAAGAGATGATTGATGGCGGTGGTTGGGAGGCGACCAACGGTCGCGTGAGTGGCTCCGATGGATTGGCCGGAGGTTCTTCGCGAGTGGTTCCGATGGTCTGGCCGAGGGCTCCTCCCACCCAGCGTTCTAAACAGAGCCCACATGTCAGTGGATGGGCAGCACTCCGCGCCCACAGGCGCAGGACGGCCGTTTGTCCCTTCTGAACTGGTGTCGGCCTCTGCTACGGCATCTCGGCAGGCTTTGACGTCGGCTGCCGGGTGGTACGGGGCTGCTGCTTCTCTCAAGACTTCGACACAGCGCTTGAGAGATTGATCGTATTGCTCGCCCAAGAAAGGTGTCGGGTGCTCACATGGTCGGTCGAACGGCCTTCGTGCTGGTGTTTTTGAACATCCTGTCCATCTGACGGACAGCTGCCCGGCGTCTTGGGCCATTTGCCGATGAGCTCATCCACGGAGTGGCGAAACTCGGTCCACTTTGCTGTCTTGTAGCCAGCCACCCTCGTCCTCTCCTCTTCGGTTTTCTCGATCTTGTCAGGATGATTGTAACAACTAGAAGTGGTCTGGTCGATTGGCATGCTCTGCTGGTCTATGTCCCACTTGGCGTTGATTTCCGTCCGACCGTGAGTTTACTCACGTAGTAGCTCCGTCGTTAAAGATACGTCGCTTGGCCGTCTACCGTCAAGTCTTCCCAGCATATGTCATGGTCCCCTGGTTGATGAGACTTCCATGCATGCATATGGTAGGCGTACAAACGTCTCGTGCGGTCGCAAGCGTCGCGGCCCCGAAAGTCGCCCGCGTTCAAAGCCTGTTCTCGCGTGCCATGGACTGGCGACCGTCTCGTTATTGGGGCGAGCACGTTTGCCTTTTCTTGCCTTTTTCTCGGCGGCCCGGTCCCCTCGCATCGCTCTGTTCCTGAGGGCGAACGAAGGAGGGGCCGGGGCCGGGGGCGATCCAACTGCGCACTTCCCGCACGCCGATATTCGGTGGATCACGTGCCCGTAGTACCTGGTATGCTCTTCCTGCACATTCAGCCACCTCCGTCTTGCAGGCTACAGGTGCGCAGCATGCGTTTAGATTCAAGTACGGTTCGAGCTAGTAAAGTCTGCCATGTTTAAGGAGCCTCGTCGGGCGGCCACATTATAATCCACAACCAGAGGGTCGGGCTCGTCTGGGTTCAGCTTCCTCTACTGGAGGATTGCGTGACGTTTGGACGGGATTCCTTCAACCGTTTTGTTGGACGGGAGAAAAGGTGTTGCATTTTAGACCTCACAACAGCTCCAGTCCCAGCCTCCGTCACAGCGTTCACCACCAGCCCCTGTGTCACCTTGAGGAAGAGCCGAAATAGGCCTATGAAAGTCCTGGACAGCACCTACCACATTCCTGTTCTGACCTCGCCTCTGATCCAGCTCCTGCGTCTGACCCAGGTCTGGCCTCAACTCCTGCCCCACCCTGAGATATGCCGACCTTGGCCCACGCCAGTCCCCCTGCTCGAGCTTCTGAGCCAGGCCGTGGCCCCGTTTCCGCCTCACCTTGAGGAAGAGGCCGAGGTATGCCTGCGCCAGCTCGAAGTCCCTCGCTGTGTCCAGCTGACGCTGCACTGTGACCAGGAACAGCCGGAGCAGCTTGGTAGAGCCGCCCGGCGCCGGCGCCAGCTGCCGCAGCTCCGAGTCCAGCTGCCAAGGGCTCATGCCTTTCAGCAGGTCCATGACGGCGTCGTCTGGCGGCGGAGACGACGGCGCCGTCACTCCTCGGCCGAAGCCGATGGGACGTCTCACGGACAGTACGGGCATCCAGCGCAGCCACGTCACACAGGAGGCGTTGGGATGATTGATGTGAGGATGAGCAGTTGTCACCAGCACGGGTCAGCTGCGCAGGGCGCAGGCCGGCGGCCAAATCCCGATCGATAATGACTCACGCAGTATCGCGCGTGACGCGTGACGTGACGCGCCAATAAGCCCCTGCAACGCACACAGCTCATGCATGAAGCATAGTTGACACTGGTAGGGCTTGCGCGGGATATGGGGATCATTTATGGCGCAGATCTCACGCAAGTTTGGGAAATTTATATATGATATACAACCAGCATACCACATTACGCGGCATGCCAAATTGATCGCGACCGGCCGCGTTCAACTGGTGAAAACTGATCAACCAATAATTCCCCGCCCGATAACCATTCAGGGAGTAGTAGTAGTAGTAATTGAGGTTTCAGGGTGCTTCGACTGCGCGGTCATATAGTGCCCATGTAACCATCCACGGAGTTTTCTATTTGGGTTCAGGGGCTATACAATTAACACCCAGTTTTGTCTGACACGGCGTCATACATAGCCGCAACCTGGCCAACGGTCATCGCTGGGCATGACGAAAATAAATATCCATACTGAACACACTCTGAAAATCATTCGGGATCTCACACGACCCGATTAATCATCTGAAATATTTCTCTCTGCTGCAAAGGCGAAACGCCGCTTCGGGGAATTTTCCAACATTCCGGGTCATTCTGCGAGAGAATCCGCAGGCCAAACACGCCCACAGTCGACCACGGGACCGCTCCTCCTGCGGTTTACACACAGGGCATGGCACAACACGCCGTTTAGCTGTCACAACATATTCGAGCATCGCAAGAAGTCGGCTGCCGCGTCGACGGCGGCGCTCCAGTGTGTCACAGCTAAGCCCGCCATCCCCCGGCGGCGCTCTAGTTGTGCCACAGCTCAGCCCGCTATCCCCAGCGGCGCTCTAGTGTGTCACAGCTCAGCACGGCCATCCCCGACGGCGCTCTGGCGTGTCACAGCTCAGCCCGCCACCCCCAGCGGCGCTCTAGTGTGTCACAGCTCAGCCCGCCACCCCCAGCGGCGCTCTAGTGTGTCACAGCTCAGCCCGCAGCTCAGCCCGCCATCCCGCGGCGCTCTGGTATGTCACAGCTCAGCCCGCCATCCCCGGCGGCACTCTGGCGTGTCGCAGCTCAGCCCGCAGCCCAGCCCGCCATCCCCGGCGGCGCTCTGTGTGTCACAGCTCAGCCCACCATCCCCGGCGGCACTCTGGCGTGTCGCAGCTCAGCCCACCATCCCCGGCGGCGTTCTAGTGTGTCACAGCTCAGCCCACCATCTCCGGCGGCGCTCTGGCGTGTCGCAGCCCAGCCCGCCATCCCCGGCGGCGCTCTGGTGTGTCACAGCTCAGCCCACCATCCCCGGCGGCACTCTGGCGTGTCGCAGCTCAGCCCACCATCCCCGGCGGCGTTCTAGTGTGTCACAGCTCAGCCCACCATCTCCGGCGGCGCTCTGGCGTGTCACAGCTCAGCCCGCCATCCCCGGCGGCATGGCTAACCGGATCTCCCGCTATCCATCAGCGACCGGGAGCCGGCGGGCGCCAGCTGCGGTGCCGGCGGCGGCCGCCGCGATCGTCCCCCGACACCACACGCCAGCGACGCTGCGGCGCCGGAGCGAGGACGCACCGGCCGCGGAGCCGGCGCCTGGAACGGCTGCCGTCCGCTCACAGCTGTCGGGCCGGCTGCGACGTGTCGAATGTGTTGGGCGAACGGTTGTCGCACGGCGCCATAGCTCAGGCGGGCGCTGACAACAGCGACGACGTCGTGAATGGAGCTTCCAACTTCGAGCAGGCGAAGCCGAACGGTGGCAAATTCCGTGGGAATGCGAAGCAAGTATGACGCCTGCTCCCCTTGCTGCAAGTGTAAACGTTGCTTGTGTTCCAACTGGTTCCAACAGCAGTCCTTTTATGGCACAGGTGGGGATTTCCCAGGCTGGTGCCGCTACCACACGACAGAGCGACTGTCACGGCTGTGCAGTGAGTCCTGCTAAGCGAGAGAGCATATGGCAGTCCCCATTCTCCCACGTTAATCGATCCTGCAGGCCAACTTCAATAATGTCCTTCCTTAGGATTCATCCATGCGCATTCCAGAGCTCTCAGATGTCGTCTCGGCGACCATTTAGACAAATAGACGGCTGGTTGAAACCGAGCAGTTCCAGTATATTATGCTCCCTTGGCTGTTATGGAGAACCTTGATCGCATCAGCCAGTTGACCTCACGAAGGCCGACACCGTACGTAGACCTTGTGGGAGCCTTCGGACCACGTGGCACCCGCGTACCCTGCGTAAGGTCTGCACCGCGCATGTGTCCTTCCCATGCGTCCTTACTCCGCCCGGGGTCAAACGGCGGAGTGATCACCCGGTAAAGTATCAACGGCGGGTCTGGGATGCGCGGTCACATCTCGGTGCAAAACACAATAACCCCATCAGCCCTCCACTCGGCATTATCACTGGCCACCCGCAGTCCAGCTTTTACGCGCGCGGCATGGGGGCAGTACCGACGCCACAAACCGGACTCCATCTCGAAAACCACGTGGCGGTGTCTGCTGCGTTCGCAACCACGCCCAACAGCACGCCCCTGGCCGTCGCCGTGGCTGGGCGGACGGGAAGGGTTCCGGCGGGTCGGCGGTCCATGTCGCGTCCCGTGTTCCGACACTGTCCCGTGTTCCAACACTGTTCCGTGTTCCCACATTGTCCCGTGTTCCGACACTGTCCCGTGTTCCAACAATGTTCCCAGTGTTTCCGACACGGAGAGCCACGCTGCTCCGCATCGCGAGCAGACCGCCACAACGGCACAGCCAGGGCACAGCCGACAGACGCTCCAACGGGACGGGTGAGACGCTCAACTGGCGCTCAGGACCTGGTCTGGGCGCACAGCAGGACCCGCCAAGGAGACCCCGCGCGGGTGCCGCGCGATCAGTGACCACGCACGACACTGTCAGCAGCGCACCCCAGCTGGGCAGCCGGGTCGGGACACCGTACTGCTCCTGGACGGACAGGGCCAGACCTCCCATGTCGCCGGGCAAGCCCGGCTCCAGTCGCGAAAACAGCATCCCACGGGGCGGCTCCGAGTTGCGGATCGTCCCCAGGTGTCGAGCGAGGACCGTATACCGTCCTCGCACAGTCCCGGGGACGACGGGTCGCCAGCCGGCCCGTTCGCTCGCTCGCTGACAACGGCCGGGGCGCCGGCCTAAGTGATTGCCGGGGACAGCGCCTGATTATAGCCGGCTTATGGCGGGCCGACCGCGGCGCCGACGAGTTACAGGCTCGCTCGGCCGAGGCGAGGCGAGCCCCGCCGCCGAGTCGTTACCGTCGCGTCGGACAGCGGCTCGCCGGCGAGGGCGGGGCGAGCCGCGTCTGCCCATCTGCGCCCGGCGGCCGACGAGATGTCTCGCTCGCGCCGACACAGCCTCGATTAACAGCACCCGGCGGGTCCATTACGGTATGCACTGGAGGAATATCTCGCAAGTGGGGGACCGAGCCCATCTAGACATCACGGCCTCGTAAACAAGAGGCTGAACTTCACGAAAACAAGCGAGCTCGCACGAGGCTGGTGCAACAGGCAGCCGCCGACGAAGTAACTGACAATCGCCACCCTGTTTTTCGTTCTGTCCGTGACTGCTTGAATATTTCATCAATATTCAAAATTCGGATCGCGTGCTCCCCAGTCAAAGCTCACCGACATCTACTTCTGAACTGGGCTACATTTCGGAGCTGGATGTCAGAGACAGCACGAGGCAGTTTGTCACCCTCTCATATCAGGATTCACCGCAGCACAGCCTGAGAACCCGTCGCCGTCAGGGGTTAAATTCCACATCAGGGACGTCGTGCCGAGACGGCGCCCCGCAGATCCGGCACACAACACAATCTGAGGCACGGCCCGCGCCCGATCGATACAGCGTACAAAGCCCGACCTGGCCTTGACTTGCCCGTTCCACGACTGCACGCTCGTTAGCCAGACATCCAGCAGCCGCTTTATTTCGGTTTCCTGGCAATACGGCGCTAGATAGTGCTGTGCTAACGACCACGGGCGTATACACACGTTACCCGCGCCGCCCGGGGAACACGTCCGCCGAGATCCTGTCGGATCGAGCGTAAACGAGGGGGCGTTTACGTTCTCCGGTCACCGACGGACGGCGCTTCACGCCACCACCGCCCCGCACAGAGCGGTCGATTGCGCGGTTTACCGCGCGGGAGTCCCAGGTTCCAGGCAACACTGCTTCGATGAGACCCGGGCCGGAAGCCCGTCAACTGCGAGCCAACGCACCCGCAGGAGGCCGTGCGGGGGCGCGATGAGACCCCACCAATCAACGTACCCCGAACAACCCCATAAATAACACAACTAGGTCACGGTAGTCATTCACCGAAGCACGTGGCCAGCAGTGAGCCGGCGGCCGGCCCTCCGGAGGTACGCGGCCGGGTAGTAAGCCAAGCGCCGCCCCCGAGCGGCGCTGCCGGGCGGGGGCGGACGGCTGTCGCCGCCGAGCGACATCCGTCCAGGGTCAGGGGCGGTCACGCCAGCACGCCGCACGCAACTCTCGGGGCGCCGTTAATTAGACGTGCACACAAACAGACCTACACACAGACAGACAGACAGACATACACACACAGTGAGACAGATAGGCACAAACAGAAGACCGGGGCATCAGTGGCGCAGGGGCCGAGCCCCTCCCCCTCCACCGTCGGCACCGGCGGCGGACAGGAGAGCGTGACCCGGCCTCGCTCGCCGAGTCACGCCAGCCGAGCCCCGGCGCTCCTGCCGCCGCCACGGTCGTCCGTCGACAGGTGGCCCGGCATCCCTCCCGCCACCGCCGGGTGTCCGCCGACAGTCAGGCAACCCTCCCGCCGCCGCCGGGGTCCGTCGGCCGTCAGGCAC